TGTACAAAACAGTGTTTACAGTTAGAACAGCAAATTAAAATAATTCATTTCACTCAATATACAATAACATAACACGTACTGGACACAATTTAAAATTGTAAGTCGATCACGTGGATCGCCACGACACAAATCAAAATGTCCATCGAGTGAATATGTATCGACAATATTCAAAGTTTGACCTATTCCTATCGGTATCTCTTACGTAATATTTACAGTCAGTGTTAGGCGTGAAACGATAAATGTTTCATGTCACTGTAACGGAAGCCACGATATCAACAATCCAATTGTTTCTCATCCAAGTGCAGTTTGCTTTGTAAATAAAAATTCGCTTCCTTATTCATTCAGTTCATTTGCAGATGATAACTTATTTCAAACTGTAATGCTGTATGGCATGACAAGAACATAGGTAAATGTAGACGCAATAAAGATTATTTTATGTAGTAATCCATTATGTTTACCGTATCAGTGATATGATTTTACAAATAATCTCATACTGCTGCTATAAATTATCCTTATGTTGCATTATTAAGACTTAAATTGTATAATACTTTATCTGTGAATGAATTTGTTTTAGCTTTAGTATCTCCTCGAAATTTGTCAGGAAAAAGCACTTATCAACCCTTAATCAGCGTTTGACAGGGATCACATGTCTGACCAATACAAACATATTAATCTGAGCTTCCTGTTTTCTTCTGGGCTTGTGTACGACCTGTCAGGTGAGGTGGACTTTCACCACCGGACGATGACGACCGATAACCGTCGATAGCTGAGGTCGCGCGTCTCGGCGTCCCACAGGGTAACGAACTCGGTCCTATTATATCTTATACACATGTACACATGCACTCAATTGCGCGCCTTAATGGCCTGTCGTTTGTATCGATTCACGTCGTACTGTTGTTAAAGGGCCGATACTTATCTTTAATAGGGCTACTAGTTAAGTAGTCATAATAAAGGTTTTATGAGGAATGTCTCTGTCAATATTTGTATTGTGTAGTTTAGACCCTATAGCGTTATCTAGTTTTGAAAATACAAAATAGGGACCATATTGATGTAAATATCAAAATGATCTTTATTTTGGTGGGAAGTCACAATATTAAATCCCTATCTTTTAGAGTATTTGATTACTGTATTGATAGCATATCTATGGAGCCAGTTATTTCTGGTTTGGCAATCAGGTGATTTTTATTCGGATTGTCATGCTAGTTCAGAACAGTTACATATTAGTGCTTAATATTCAATGGCACTCCATCCAAAGGAGCCGGCTTAGTAATATATTCACTATGCGTAAGTTATAATTCTCATTGTCGTAACTTGCAAGGATTCGGGACAGATCTAATGGTTTTTAATTCACATTACATTTGAAGTGGTTTATTGTATTGTTATTAATTTGATTTTAAATCGTGGAACGTGTACTAAATTTTAAAAAGCTTCTCCGTGTTATTTTTATCTCAGTACTTCATTTTTTCTGGTGTGCCGTAAAGTTCATAGTTGACAATCAAGGAGGAAATCATTATAATTTATATTGTAACCAGTAGTTTTATGGAGCTGCCCTTTACAAGGCCACTAAAGCAGACGCCGTAGGTACTATCACTATCTTCATAGTCGTCAAGGAAATATATAGAACAGGTAATAAAATTATGGATAAAGTGAGGACAACTGGTGTCCCTAAATGTTTGAAGGTTAATAGTTATTTTCTTACTGCTAAGTAATGAGATTTTGTGTTTCCAGAAGAAGCTTTCGGTGCTAATAGTCTAAGTGTTGCCTTTTTTGTTAACTACTTTTGTTAATATTTCAAATGCGTCCTATTAACTAATATTAATAATGAGAAAAACATATGGCCCCTTTGATTACATGATGAATCTTCCAGCAAATTTTACAATAATTGGATCATGCCTTATTTGGCTGTAAAATAGCCAAAACAAATGCAAAAAGTAGTAACTGTACCAACAATTAGAAACCTACGATAGTAACCATTGTTCAGTCTTCGTTATCACTTCTCAAGTAGACGTCAAAGGCGGAGAGAACACGATTAAAAATCGCAAGGACGGGGCTATTTTTAACGCTCCAACGTGCTCGAGTGAATGTCTCAGTGCGTGGCGCGTCGGTAATCGTTACATGTGGTACGTAATCGATACGTGTACTAAATGTAATGAAATGTTTCATTTTGTCACAAATAAGGGCTCTCGATTTATTGTCTACGTTACTATCGTTCGTGTATGTACTTCGATTGCAACATCTGTGTGATGTGTGTTAATAATATATTAATAATCTACACACGAAGCGTAGATCATATCTATAAGGGCTTAAACAAAACTTCCTTATTGTTCGTCTTATTACAATTGACACTTAAATGACGTCAATCATTTTGCAAAAAATCTATTAAATATTTCGCAAAATTCAATTATTATTATTATACAGCGTCAATAAGTAAAATAATGCTCCAAAGCTACGCCAAACCACAATTTGCATATACCAATAAATACCTGTGACCCCTCTGCGAATTGTGAAGGAATACTAAGTGGGTCCACATCGCCAGATGTACTCGCGCAAGGACAAGTTTTACTATCCTAATTTATTATTTCCTGTGAACCGTCAAAGCATTTTATATGACAGTATAACACTGACAATAGCTTTGTGAGCGTAAATCATATCTGCATTGTGCATAAAATGATCGCGGGAACGAACATAATACGAATCAAATGAACGGGTAAGGGGTCCCTCAAGGTTTAAGGTTTTCTCGGACATGAGAAAAGTGTTTGATATTGTTAATTTTAATTTATTTGAAATTAAATGGCAAACATTCACAGTTTATTGACTTTGTACAGAAACAAGAAGTATCATCTGAAATAAGGAAAATAAACTCCATTTCAAGACAACTTTGTTAGAAATAAGTTCTTTAAATAGTAAATAACATAAATTATTGTTTGTACATTCAATTTACCACATAATTACTGATTTCTATTACATAAACGTTAACTTTCTAACGTAATTTGGAGGCAAACGGCTTGGATAAACAAATTGTCTATGACCGTCAAGTGTTCAACGTTTAACGTATTCAACAATTATCTTTACGTATACAAGTATATTCAACGCACGTTTTGTGTTATTAAAGGTTTAAGATTTCTCACGTTAATCACCTTTAACTTACAATTTATGGTTTTGTAAGGTGCGTTACGTACATTTATTGAAATTGTATTTGATAGGGCTTCGATAACTAAATAACAAAACAAGATATTTGTACGTCATACCTTTAGAAAATTCTATCATTGTCTTTCCGCAGGAAGTCTGCTGATGTTATTTTTGAAAACATATCCACCTTTTTCATAGAATTCTATTTATTGCTGCAGAAGTAACAGTAACAATTTCCTTTTCATAGAAAATTAATTAATTGATTCGACCTTTTCGTTTCGCATTATTTTGAGAGGAGTAGGAGACATAAGTCTGTACGTTAGAGGAGGTTGTAGGTATAGATTTATGTCCATCTATTAAAGTTAAATTTAGCTGAGCACGGAATTTTGGAACGCTACGTAGATCAGCCAACATACATACTCGACTAGATGATTATGACAAAACACTTGAACATCAACATGCCACTAGCAATTGAAGCTCGACATAATCAAACGATCGTAATACCAATCAGAGTTTTATGATGTCGAGTCACTATAGCACCCTAAAACATTACACTAAATGTTACAAGCTCGATTAATGCGCCCATAACCAAATGCGACGATAATACCAGCACTAAAATAACAAAGTTACAGCGTAGTGCTGTAGTGTGATCAATCCGAGCGTATTTACTGCTCCGAATAAATTAGTTTTATGTATTTTGGCAGTAATATGCTAACTACCAGCCATAACGACCTTAGGCGATAACTTCGCGACTTCGAATTTGCATTGGTTAAAATTTGTTAATTATTCGATCACTCCTTGCGGCTTTACCATTATATTCGTGGAACTGTTAATATCAGCATTGTATGTGTCGATAATGCCTTAAACGAGGCATATAAACATATCACTAGTCGCCACAAATACCGCAGACCGGAAACTAAAACCCGTGCGTAATATACTTAGAACTGCACTGTGTCATTTAATAGCTATTAAAGAAGGCCTTACTGATTGTGTAGCATAAAATTAAATAATAAATTCATCTGCAGTACTGCCCACGGAGAAGTAACTGAGGCAAATAGATTAGAGCCGTCTGATAGGCGGTAGACTTTGTCAATTTAAAATGTATGGACGATACTGTGGCGGTAGCATGCGTCTTATGCTCCGATATTCTGTTCAATATATTTTTAGTGTTCGGTTTTGGATTTATTTTTATCTTTGTCTGAGGTGAGAAGTTTCATTTTCTGTTGCAAAACTGTCTTCGAACTTGTGCCTTTTTTAGGATTGTCTTTATAGTTTTCTTTGTAAGGTGGTCCAAATTTTTGTCAGTTACCAAAATCTTTGTTCTATGATTTGTAACTACTTATATTCTGTCCAACAAATGTGCAAATGTATTTACTCAATTTTATGTATTCACTGACGCGACCATTTTACGATTGAACATGTTATGGCATTTGGTCCATAAAATTTTGATTTCGATCTCGAAATATTGTCCGTGACTCATAGGCTTAGGACTCGGGAATTACAATTATTTTATCTGTCTAACACTTCCATGAGATTAGTTTTATAAGGACTTTATGTAATTTTTGACTGAGATTTGTGGTAAATTTTGACTACGCAAATAGCAATTAAATTAGGAACATATACAATTTATCAAAGTTAATTGGATGGATGTACGTTTTTACGTTTTAGATGGATTTATAGGACTTATTATTCTATGTTAGTGCCTAATAAAACTATGTCTAGTAACAATAAATTAACTTGTCTACCTAACAAATAAAATCAACTCGTCTTAACTACATTTTTTCACCCGTTTAACAAACATAACGTATTTAAAGTCAAGCTTTCTTCAATATAGCGAATAAAAATTATTAAATTTTTATTTTCTGTTTGTTGACAGGCATGAAAATGACTATGTCTACGACACCGACGATGAGTGCTCGGGTACACAGAAAAGTGATGCGGGCGCCACATAAGCGGGCCCACCCGGGTAAGACGCAGCACCCGGGCAAAATGGTGCACGCCGGGAAAATCGCACACCACCCGGGTAAACTGGCACATTTAGGCAAATTCGGGAAACTCGCGCACTACGCTCACACGCACGCCCTGCGGCCGCCTGAGCCGTGCGAGAACAGTAACGACAGCGGCCTAGGACCCGACGCCGGCAACAGGTAAGACCCTAGCAGCTTCACACGCGCTTGGCAACACCTTTACATCTATAGAGGCTCACATTACTACGGTAATTGCTTGCATATGGTTCTAACACTCCTATGGTGTCCCATAATCCTCAAAGGACTCACATCGTTCCTACCCTACTAACACAATGTACTTAATTATTTGCTTAACATAGCTTTAGAACACGCGTCTTATCGTGATACACCTTCGCGCTTATGGCATCGTAATGCTTCACAAATGTTTGTTAATTCTGAGAAGATTGAAGCCAATATTTTGATTAGCATCAAACCCCCGCGAATACTGAGTGACTAAATAAACCTGGGCTGAGTCTGTATCGTCAATGTGTTCATCATTTGTGTGATTTATTAGCATCGATATGCTGACCGATAAAATTAGATCGACTGTTGGTGGCGCGTTCATATTATACAGTCTCGCATCGATATTTTGTATATCGTCATCTTCAATGTTTACTTAACTATTTTCAGTTTGATCCAATAAAATAATAGCCATCTTCATGCGGATCAAAGATTAATGTATTACAAAAATAGGCGTGGTAATCATTTGCAATTGCATCTGTTCAAACTTCCAAACTGATCTCAATCAATGTTCATCCTTGATTCCAAATAGATAGATGAAAACTAACTAAAATCATTTAACACTAAAGATGAAGATTAGTATCAAATGTACCCATCTGAAAATACTGGTTACTGGTGGATTGAAAAATAAATACATCAATCATCTCTTTATCTTTTGCTGTGGTTAATTTAAAAAGAGCTGGTACGATATTAATTCCATAAAATTGTGAGAAACGTCTACATCTCCATCATTATTTATCTATTAGTTACTTCACAGATGCTTAGTCACCTAATTACTACGGGCTCAATACCGCAGACACAAATCTATTCGAATTCTTAACCATATGACCTTCGTCAGTATTAGATATATTTTGATGCGCACTCACGTCCGTGTACTGGCGAGTCGCGTGCGCACACGTCCTTATCGATCGTTAACTACTCGAGTTTATATCCATCTCAACTCTCAAGTCTAACTACTCGATTTTATCTCTAACTAGATTATTATCTATTGTAAGCAGTTAGAAATTCGGAGATTCAGACATACGACAGTTTTATAGCAGTCGTTAAATGAAGCATGGACGTGATTGTGGTTGATTTAAATCGGTTCTAATTTTGGGACGTGCAAAATATTTTCTGCAGCCTACGGTCTTTTGTGAATACTCTACAAATCATGATGATACGATCAAAAGTGAAGTTTACAAAGCTTTAGAACTAGCACCTCTACAAAGGCCACGCAAACAATACAAGCAACCTTAAACTAGCAAATTATTTACTAACAAACAAACAATTTGACAAATACAATCCACTCGTGATATTATACAAGTGGAGTAGTACACATGTACATATGTAATTACATAAGGCCGTAACAACATGACATAAACGCTTGCGTAATTCGCTATTGTGAAAAGCATACGAAATATTGAATATGTCATTGGCCTCTTATGAGTAATGCTAGACTTTGATCGGTTAGCTTTTTCCTCTGATATTTTTGTTGCAAGTATTTTTAGAGGTAATTATTTCCGGGGTTTTTGTAACTTTGTTCATAAACATCTACATCGCGGCAACTAGTAATTGTTGTGAAAAGGTAATAATATTCATACAGTTTGTGTTTAGTTAAAGTCAAAATGCTATCATCATGATCCCTATAACCTGCATATTTTGTACATGAATATGCAAAAGACAATTTCGAATAGACGTAATAGCTTTAATAATTTCACTATAAGATTTGAAGATAAATAACTTATTAACATTTTATCCGTTACGCAGCACGGGTATACCCAGTTACACCATAACCATTGCTTGCCTAAAACGTACCACTTACCAATTATTATGTACTTTCTCTTCTGCTTATTACAAAGTAACATTTAATAGTTTTCCACGTAAACAAGTTTCCACTGTCCGCCCATCTTGTCCATTGAAATAATTTGCATTTCAATTTAATTAGTTTGCATTCTGTTAAAGACTAACGCCGTCCATTGTCTTATGCTTGTTCAAATAGAAAATACCTTCATAAAATTCTTCTAAAGGTTGGATTAAATCGGATCACTGGCTAAAGTTTCTTCTCTTTAATCATCTTCGAACTCTTTTGGGCCTTGTATATCCAAACATCCTTCATCAGCTCGGAAGGTCTTTCTCTTAAAAGGCGGTTTGTCATAATCATAGGCGGCTTGTGTCACTGAAATTTTAAACCACACTGCCCCCCCAAACATCTGCTTATAGCTAGCCTTAACAGGGTCCTACATAAAGGGAAAACTGTTTTTGCAACAAATTTCTTGAGGCAATAAATTGTACAGGAGCACTCCGACATTTGTACAATGGTCGGAGGTGCCAATCCGCTTCCAATTTAACAGTTAACATTGTAAAGTGAACACTAGATTAGATTAGTCGAGCTCCTAGATCAATCGGCCGAACTCATCGCAGCGCAAACGCACCTCACGCTAATATGTATTTTTAGCACGTTTGACCGCACGTGCGCATGAGTCGCCTATCATGCTGTTACTTCATACGCAAGCGAATAATAAATATAATATTAAATCCCTTTATTTTGGCCTCTAAACTTTCAGGATACGAAGCTGCTTTATTTGTGTTACAAGCAACACGCTTTAGCGATATCGGCACATATCTTGTGAATGTATTTAATTCAATCACTAATTGCACTTAATCAAATGACTATTGTGTAGTGTGTACAGAATATCATTGGGTAACATTTTTCATTTTTACAATATAACGCGCCTTTACATGGCTCCTTCATTAACTTACTGAAGGCAACCTTGGCCTGCCCTAAGGCGGCATGAGGCCTGCATTGTGGGTAACTTCACTCAAATTTAACTGAAGCCGTTAATGGTGCAGATGTTCGGACACTTTGGAGGAGTGGGAACACCCGGAGTTGAAACGAAGACGCGGCGACAGTGAAGCTGCGGTTAAACTAGAATGCGACGACGCAAACGACGCGTACGCTTTCCGTGCTCCGGGCGCGGGAGAGCCCGCGTCCGCCACTGTACCCTCGCTGCCTGACGCTCCCGCCGCCACGCTTGCGCCGGCGCTACCCACTCCCGTGTACGTTCACTATTTTGTTAGAGAACATTTTGTTCTCGAAGGTAACATTGGATCATACTCAAAATTCATTTCCGACTCGATGTTAATGACCCTAACCTGACAAAAAGCACGGATCCTGGATACGGGTAGAACCGGAGACTCCAGAGTGTCCTATCCATAACGCGTTAATATCGCCTTTGTTGATACAAGGCTGGCCTTAATAAATGGTTGCTTGAAAAGCGTTCGTTTGTGCAGTGTCACGAGCATATCCATAAATCCGCATGTTCACCGCATGTAATTGTCGCATCGTCTGTGTGTACGTATACTGGTGACGCACTGATGCTTGTCCTTACAAATGTCCAGCTAATTGTCTGATACCCGCCGCCCTACCATGAATACACATTCATTTGTGTTGTTGTCACGATATATTTGGAGAAAGATGGCAATTGAGTGACTAACACGAGGTGCATTGGCAAATATTTGGAGATTATCAGTGTCATTGGCTATTTTTTTTCAGTAAACCATAACAAAATCTATTTTTTACAGAATGAGAGCTGGTTGCAGTATATCTAGTCCAAACATACCTGAAAGTACTGGCAAAAGATTCCAGGACCCGTACAGATCGTGCGGGAAGCTGGGCAGTGCTGGGAAACTAGCCAGCAAGTACCCGGGAGGGGGGAAATTGGTTGGTGCTGGTGGGAAACTAGGAGGCAAACTAGCAGGGAAGTGGGGAGGTAAACTAGCACAGGCAATGGCGCGACGAAGGGTGGTAACAAACATGATCCCGGGCGGCAGGCCCGGGCTGTCGTCGCCACTGTCCAACAGGTCGAGGGATGGTACCGTGGAGCTGCAGATTCTCTGCCAGCCCGAGACACAACACAGAGCGAGGTAACTACAAACCATTCACAATTAATGTAAACATATTTCATCCTCCACCTCAACATGTATGGATAACTAACGTATGTATTTGCATCCCAGATATCAGACTGAAGGCAGCCGAGGTGCTGTCAAAGACAATTCTGGGAATGGTTTCCCAACTGTCAAATTACTTGGCTACGACAAACCAGCTGTGTTACAGGTGAGTCGCCTATATTGTTAATTTGTAACTTATTTACAACATTTTAGAATCTATTTTTGTCTAATTACTAAATATTATAGTAAAATTAGTATTCAAAATATTGTAGAAGAATTGTAATTCAACTTTCGCGACACATTATCTGCAAAATAAGGGATTGTTTTCTAACGCAACCTTTTATTGTTTTATTTTTATATTCTGCAATTTATCGTAATATAAAGTGACGTGAGAAGTTGAAACAAATCAACGAATAATCTCGAAGAAGTCAAATCAATATCACCTTTGGTTGCTCAATGTCGAAGGTTAATCGTTCAGGGCTGTAAATCAAAGGATACCATCTAGTCGTGAGACGAATGCTAATCTTGATCTACTGTTGTATTACCATCTCTGTAATTGAGGGCGTAACAATTGAATTGGTATTCTTATATGGATGTGTTAAAGAAATTAATGAATTTAGATGATTGATGAACCTCACGCCATTTATCCCGGAAGGGTTAGGCAGAGGTACACATTTACGGCACTTAGTGCCATTGTACAATATAACACCCACTTTTCACTATTTATATTATGAGTCCCATGTAATAGGGGGTGAGCCTATTGCCATATACCGGGCACAATTCCAGACTCCATGCTACTACTGAGAATTAAAAACAATTATTCTTTGCCCGTCCCGGGAATCGAACCCGAAACTCGGCCAACGAGGCAGTTAATCAATTTAGAGAAGTGCGTTATATGCATCTGGCTAAAATTTATAGGATTTGGCTTTAACTCGTCGAGTACCGTATTTATAGACACAATTAAAGAACAATAGGTTGCGGTCACCGGTGACTGCTTGGTGTTTGACAGTTTAAAAAGGAACTTTAAAAAAATAAGGCAATGGTAATTTTTCTACCCCGATTTCGATGTTATTGGAGGAGGCCTATTTAGCAGAAGATTTGATTTATATGATATTGGTGATGATGCAACAACTTCTTTAGGGATTGTTTTCAATCTTAAACACACTAGGCCGATCTGATCCACTTTAGGTGGATTTCACAAGCGGACGCTTAGCATAACATAACATCACGCCTTTTATCCCCGAAGGGGTAGGCAGAGGTGCACATTACGGCACTTAATGCCACTGTACAATGTAATACCCACTTTTCACTATTTATGTTATGAGTCCTATGTAATAGGGGGTGAGTCTATTGCCATATAACGGACGTTTAGCATCTATTAGAAAAACCCACAACACATCGTAATGATAAAAACTTTCTTGTTCCTCCAGGTATACATAGGTACAGACACAGGTAGGGTTGCCCCACACATGTTCTACCAAGCGTGTCGAGTGTCTGGCAAGAACTCGACGCCATGCAAGGAAAGGAAGGAGGATGGCACAGTTATCATAGAAATAGACCTGGAGCCGGCCAAGAACTGGCAGGTCACCTGCGACTGTGTCGGGATACTCAAGGTTAGTACAAAATAATAAAACAACAGTTTTGTTTTGATCTTAGAATTCAGTGATAGAATATAATCTATACTAATACTAGCTTCTGCCCGCGACTTCGTACGCGCGAATCCGTTTTCCCCGTTTCCGTTCGTGATTTTTGGTAAAAAGTAAAAAAAGAAATATCGGATAAAAAGTATCCTATGTCCATCTCCTGGTTCTAACCTTTTTCTCCACCAATTTTCATCCAAATTTGATTTAGCCATTCTTGAGTTATAAATAATGTAACTAACACGACTTTCTTTTATATATATAGATTATAAAGCTAAAGAGTTTATTTTTTTGTTGTTTGTTTGAACGCGCTAATCTCCGAAACTACTGCTCCGATTTGAAAAATTCTTTCTGTGTTGGATAGCCCATTTATCGAGGAGAGCTATAGGCTAAAATATGACGCTACGATTAATAGGCGCTGAGCATAGCGAGTAAAACCGCGTGGAAGTAGCTAGTATAATATAATGCTTGAAGTTTTGCGAAAGAGATGAATGAACTATTAGTATCTAATAATGATTGAATTTTTAAAATGTATTATCTCTTTCAATTGTATATGTATTGGGTAGTGTAATTGGTTTTTTGTACCGTTGTATTCGTATAAATAAATAAATATATAATTCCTGCACTTAATTGTCTTTGTATCCAGCCCCTTTAAATGTCGTAAGCAAGTTCTCTTTCATGAAAATAATTTAACTCGGCCTTTTCACGCATCAAGCTTTATTGTTTCGATGCTTATTTGGTTGATGATTGCTATTTGAGAAACTTACTAAAAGTGCAGTGGTTATAACAAAATTACAATTTTTTAATTGCTATCCTATTATACACGGTGGTCTTTTTAATTGTTTTCATACAAACATGGTGTAGAAACCAGACATTAATGTCCAATTTCAGTAACCTATCTATCTGTAGATTTGCTTACTAGAGATAGGATTTTGACACTTTTTGTATGGAGCTCATGTCAAAATAAGCAAATCTACAGATAGATAGGTTATTGAAACTGGCTGTAAGACACAAACACTATTATGTAGTTCCTTAAAAACAATCCTCAAATTTTCCTCTTATTTCTAGGAACGTAATGTGGACGTGGAACACAGATTCGGTGAGGCACTAGGTGGCAATGCGACCGTGGGCTCGGGCACCAGCGCTGCACACATCTCACGAGGCAAGAAGAAGTCTACACGATGCCGTATGGTCTTCCGAACCGATATCATAAACGCTGCCGGCCACACTGAGACATTGCAAGTCTGTTCCACACAAATTATATGCAGTAAGTCATCTTTCTTAATAACATTACATAACATAACATCACGCCTTTTATCCCCGTAGGGGTAGGCAGAGGTGCACATTATACCACTGTATAAAGTAACACCCACTTTTCACTATTTATGTTATGAGTCCCATGTAATAGGGGGTGAGCCTATTGCCATATACATTTCTTAATATAATAATTACACTTATATTTAATAAGGAGATAGTTTGTATTTGGTTATCTAGTAAGAGGTAAAGTTTTAATCAAAAATCACGCCTTAACGAGTGATATGGTACAAGACAGAATATTTACAACATACACTCTTTGCTGCTTGAGGTTTTGATTCTGTAATCACAATCTCATATTTCCCTCTATTACGAATTAAAGTCTGTCCATTGCTTAAAATATCACAGACATTACACCTGACTTGAACACTGAACTTATTTATAATAAAACAAACGAAACTAAAAATAAACAATAATGAATAAATTCAGTAATCAAAACTGGTACTTATTTCAAGGTTACAAAACAATGCTGAAACATAATATTAGAACATTGGTTTTTAAGGTAATTACTTTAATCACCTAGGAGATATTTTGTCATTTATTATACTCTAAGTAAAGTTTCCGTAGAAAAAAAAAACATATTTTTCAACAGTAGACTAAGTTCAAATGTTGATTAATTTGATTTTATAATAATAACAAGTAATAATTCTTCATATATTTCCTTTTCCCCCGCTTCCAGCTCAACCGCCAGGTGTTCCAGAAGTGTGTCGTAAATCACTAGTATCATGTCCCGCGACCGGTGGACTCGAGCTCTACCTTCTAGGCAAGAATTTCCTCAAGGAGACCCGCGTAGTATTCTGCCAGCGACAGGACGGACGCACTCACTGGGAGGAGGAGGTCGCGCCTGACAAGGAGTTCTTACAACAGGTTTGTTAAGTTCTTAAAAGATAGTTAATTAATGGTTCAAAATCTCTCAATATATGAGATTAAAAAATATTGTCTTTCCAAAAGTACGTCTAAGTCATTTTGATCAATTATTTATTAAAATTGGCTGGTAAGTATTTTGTTTGCATCCAAATACCCAAATAGTTAGTCCTCTTGGTCTTTTCTCAATTTCATTCGAATCAGCGTTAAATATTAACCAGATTAGGCTGGTTCTCAGTTTTTAACAATGAACAACTGCGTTACAGACCTTCTTGATTTTCAGTTGGACAGAAAAGTCATAGATTTTAATCATAATTTTGTTTCAAAGTCAAAAATCTGCACAATACCACAATATTTTGACTGCACGGTTGGTGCGGTGGCTGGGCAACCTGCTGCCGTGCAACGTGTCGCGGGTTCGATTCCCGCACGGGACAACACTTTGTGTTATCCACAAATTGTTGTTTCGGATCTGGGTGTCATTGTGTATGTGAACTTGTATGTTTGTAAACGCATCCACGACACAGGAGAAAATCCTAATGTGGGGCAAAGTTTTTTAAAAAAAATAAAAAAAAATCTATTTTTCGGAATATTATTAATATGATACTGTTTCCTCAGACGCACCTAGTATGCTGCGTGCCGCCGTACTGCCGCACGGACATATCGGAGGCCGTGGCGGTGCAGTTGTTCGTGCGGTCGGGCGGGAAGGCGTCGGAGCCGCACGTGTTCTACTACACGCCGCCCGCGCTCGACACCGGGCCCCAGCACTGCTCGCGCCACCACACGCAAGGTAACACCACTCTCCGACACGACCCGGCCCGCTTGCCTGAGCTTGGAATACAAACTCTTTATGTCAATCGCCTTATTATGTAAAAAAAATAATAATAATGTACAAAAAGGTTTATAGTCACTGCAATATATTCAGATTAAAAAGTTAAATCTGGTTGTGCTTTTCTAAATATATGCAAAATAATCAGACAAAATGTAGTTTTGGTTATACTCTCAAAGTACATTTAAAATATTCAAATTAAATAATAACTTTGCCTGTACTTTTCACAGAATATGCAAAATATTCAAATACAAAAGCAACTTCGCGTGTACTCTTCATAGAACAACATCATTATTGGCATTGACATAAAGAACGGCATTTTCGCATATCGTTCAACATATCATAAGTTAGATCCGTCATAATATAATAATATATAATGTTTAGATGTCCATGTTCGCACGAATATATAAATCAAATAAAATAATAACTGATGCTTTTTATTTGTATGCAATACAAAATTGCTGTCAATATAGTGCGAGGCTTGTTGTTTCATAATCACTTGTAAGTGTAACAAACTGTAAAATGGGGCTCATATTGAATATATAAAGGTCGCATTTTTAATAATATATGACATCTAATAGATCACAATTATAATTTAAAAAATAGCTGTTTTTTATTTAGCCCTAATTTACAGTTGACTCATTAAAAATGGGACAAAGTACAGTACAGCTTCTTTTAGTAACAAAATACTACTAATAATCTCTTCCTAGACATCATTTCGTCTCATTAAACATTTTAATTTCAATAACGTTTTCCTTTTTTTCTAATTAATCTAATTACTTATAAGTTTCTTCTTTTTATTATAAGTTACGCTTCACTCAAAGACTAGGCTTGCACTTAACTAGAATATTACACAAACACAATTCTTAAGTTTATTTATTTTTGTTAATTTATGAACAAGTGTTCAGTAGTTTTGGGGTTCGCTCCCAAAGTGGACATGACAGACCTACTAATGTTTGTATGTGGTTTTAGCTGTAGTATGTAGCGTATAAACTTTGTCCCTAAATCATGTTTTATCGACAATGTTGCTTAAAAGCTATTTAAAACGCTTTTTATCTAATATTGCTTCTTCTCATTGAATACTAACAAATACTGTATTATGATAATAGTCATATGATAAAGTGCATTGCATTAAAAATGAATTTGCTTTAGAAAAATAGTATTAATGTTCAGCAAATACTACGTCTCGTTTACACTTTTATGGCTTATACGATTTATGTATATTCAAAATAATTGCATAAAAACATCAATGCAGTACAGAGTAGTATATGTCAAGATAATAGAGTCATTATTTTAAAATATATTTGTTACATCGGTATAAGAATAAAAGCGTAAGCGGCACAGTATATACAGAGACTGCCTATTGTATATAATGTAACATGTTGCTTGGAAATAACCACGCTTATATTACTGGCATGTATATAACACTGCGGTACGATATGTATTGTAATAATACTGAAAGTTAAGTTATATATTATGTTATAGAAGATATTTGGAAGAAACGACTGATGCGCGAATTGCGTACTCTTTCTTTTTTCCCTCTGTTCAAGCTAGGTCTGTCTAGGTAGCGAGCATCGCCGCGCCGCGCCGCTGCCCGCTCACCGCGCCCGCACGGTACTGACACACACACACGCACACACACACACACACACACAAATACATACACACACGCGCACACACGCAAACACGCCACATACATACATGGCACAATACAGACACAAAATTACACTTGAACAATTTGTTGTATTCAATTTTATAGGCACTGTCGATGTTTTGTGTTTAATGATCAAAAAATTTTAAATTGTCTATGTATCTAAATTTTTTTAATTGCGGAATTTATAAAATATGTAGTTTCAGTTTGTATTGTTTGTATAATTGGTTTTCATTGAATTCTAAATTATAATATTGACGATATATAAAAATATTTATTTAGTATTTCCCGTCGACAGTGCACAAAAACCACACAAGCAAACTGTACTCAACTCAAAAAACACGAGTATGACCATCTGACAAGGCAAAGTCAATGGAAAATGAACTGTACGAACTTTAACACAGAGCTCACTACCCAGTAACACTGACTTTCGCGTAGGACAGACTGCACATCCCCCCACACTTTAGATAGTACTTCTATTGTGCCTACCCCCTTATATATTGTCTATGTCCACCCCCACTTAACTGGCGAAAAAGAATTAGCCTTTGACACGAATCCTGTGAAATATTGACCGTTTTCAACGTGCTGCGAGGTGATTTTATCTTATTAGGACCATCGATCTTTCTATTATATTAAAAAAGGTTAATTTTCCACTTAATTCTTTGCTTAAAAAGATCTAAAATGCAATGACAAAAATAATTTTAATATTACTCCGGTAAAACCCGATTATTGTACCAAAATCGGTCGTACTACTGACATGGAGTCACTAACCTGCGCTGTGAAAACGATAAAATAATTACACGATCAATAAATTAACTCGTCGAGTACCGGTTTTATAGACACAATTAAAGAACAATAGGTCGCGGTCACCGGTGACCGCTTGGTGTTTGACAGTTTAAAGAATAAACGTAACAATTATACAATTTTTTTCTATAAAAACTTACCACTCCCAGCAATCAGGCCATAGTGGTATGCAAAAAGCTCAATGTCGATAACAAGATTAAGATGTAAAAATACCGATAATATACAACGCTGTTGTAAAGATATAAATCGAATTAAAAGTCACGTGAAATTACATCAAAATCTATAAAAGCTGTTGTATCTATCTAATCTTTTAAATCATACGATGGCTACAAATGTACAATAATTGATATTATTTATTAAATACTTAATGAAAAATAATCGTTTGCCTGTGTGATAACAGATGTTAAAAAAGAATAATAATAATAGAAATCAATTCATAAATATTGTTGTTTAAAACGCTGCGTTTCTTTTTTTTGTAAAACTGTGGAAAACACGCCTTAGTGTATGTAGAGAGCTACAGAGAGTGCCAGCATGACGTACGTGGCGAATGACTCGCCTCGCCGCGGTCTATGACACGTTGCGGTCACACGTACAGGACAGGGTCTCGCGCTGCAGGCGTATCTTCCGCAGACTATAATGACAAGTCTACAAAACCAATTTAACTTTATACCCTTCCCCTACTAACAGCCATTAAAAGAAAGGGCTAACAATAATTTTAACACCATTCAAAATGGCGATCAGAATTTTTGTTATCTGTTTCTGGGGCTTGCGTAAGAGAGGGTATGAAGTGGTTAGTGTGCGCCAGTTATGTGGGGGATGTGTTGGGAGGCACTCGTGTAGTGTATGCCCGGCGCTAAGTATGGTGGCTGCAGGTGGCGAGGAGGCGCGGCCCGTGCTGCTGTGGGGCGGGATGATGCCGCCGCCCGCGCTGCCCGTGCGCCGCCCCTCCATCATACTGCCGGACCCTCACTCGCCCGTCGGACTCAAGAGCGAGGTATGTACCATGGACTTCTGTATTATTACTCCCCACAGCCCCTGGTTGGTCTCCTTCGTGCAGATCATTGGCATGAAAGCAGAATTGGTAACTTTTACATCCCACAGCTCATGATGCCCTGGTAATGAATGCAAAGTTGAACCAAAACTGTTTCTGAATTTGTACATCGAAGCTGTATACCGCAACCGTTTTCATGGTCATTTGTAGTTAGTTGTAGAAAATAACAAATTGTAAAGTTTTTGATTTATTTCAATTAGATGAGGACTAAACCCAACACTGCTAATGCAGTAGCACTACCCAAAATCGTGATAAGCAGTGACGAATGTTGTCCGCTGGACGGAGCACAGCACTGTAGTGTGAATGTGTTCAGTATGGAGGTCTCTCACTGCACAGTGAGTCATAGCTGCTACTCCACTCACCCTCCAAACACACCTTGTATTTTAAATTCACCAGGTTTGCTTTCCTATACATAAATTCATAGGTACATGTGATTAAATGAGTATGTCATCTTCAGGTGGCCGATGAGACCAGCCAACACTCGCTTGTAGACGGTGGCGAGTCATCGTGTGGCGCTGAAGGACCCGACAAGCCAATGAGCATGTCCGAGGAACTTAACATCGTCGACCTCAGGCTCAAGTCTGAGATGTCCAGGGACTCACAGAGCCAGGTATGAGAACTATTAGTCAATTGTCCTTCTATCGCGTTGGGAGGTGATGAATGTGACTTATTTATAATTTTGTTTGCCTTGGTGTTTCAGGTGGGTTTCGTGGGTGGCTACGACAATATAAAGCTGTCCCCGAGCACTCCGGCGGCGAGCTCGCCTCCCTCCCCCCTGGCCACCTTCACGCAGCAGTTGCAGGCTATACAGAACCAGGTGCAGACGGACAAGATGGTGGAGTCCGTCACTGCCGCGATCTTCAACTCCGACGACAACGCGCCACAGATCTACCCCACCATGATGCAGCCCATGGACACCATGCGACAGTTGATCTCCTCCAAGAGCGTGGACCCGCTCGAGACAGACATGAAGGTGCTCAACCCTGAGCTCATGATCACAGAGACATCCATGCAGCAGAATGTGCTGCAGCCCGGCGAGCAAAGACTGATAGTATACAACCAGATGCAGGCCGCGGCGCAGGACGACTCCTTCCCCTTCGGCAACATGACCAAGCTGGAGATGGGACCCACCGCCATCGAGCACCGCCTGGCGCAACAGTCCGCGCACATGGAGGCCCTCGTCGAGGACGCCATGAAGGCCACCGCCGCCATGCTGCCCGACAGCTCCAAGCTGGACGAGCTCGTCAACTCCAGGGTGGACGACCACCTGCAGGCCGGGGCCGCGTCCCCCGCCCGCGCGGCGCCCGACCTGCTGCCGCCCATGCCGGCGTCCGCCATCTCGCCCGACGTCATCCTCAACCCGCAAGTGTCGCCCAGCATGCTGTGTGACTCGGCGCAGCGCATCGTGATGCCGGCCGGGCCCTCGCAGGACGAGCTCATGATGATACAGGACCAGGTGCAGCTCACCTCCGTCAAGACTCCGCCCGCCGCCGTCAAGTCCATGATCCTCAACGCGGCCGCCGAGATCCTCACCTCCGACACCACCATGAACGCGCTGGTGACGTCCGCCATCAACACGGCCAACATACTGACCACAGAGAGCGTGTCGGGCTCCGGCGGCATGCAGACCACGGACTCTGCCCAGCCCCCCGCGGAGCCGGCGGGAGAGACTCCACTGGTGGCCATGTCGCAGGCCGTGTCGCAAGCAGTGACGCAGGCTGTGTCGCAGGCCGTGTCGCAGGCAGTGTCGCAGGCCGTGACGCAGGAGATGACGGCGCCGGTGCAGGGACTCACCGACATGAGTGACCAGGACCTCCTCTCTTACATAAACCCCAGCACGTTTGACCAAGGTGAGTACATGGACGTCTACTACAACTAGTCAGTCAGTCGCGCAGATCCGAACCCCCGCGTCCGTTACCCGGCGTCACACGCTCAGTCACACGTAGCTCAACCTAGGCGGACACACTTCTGTAAATATATTGTAAATAGTTCAAACGTATTACATACTAAGCGATACTACCCACAGTGCATTGCCCGTAACGTCGCGGGTTCGGATCCACGAGGCTTTCTTGTATTTTCATTTGTTAAACATTCTAATATTAACTGCAGTAGTTTAATCTAATTTACAATAATGCATCAATCCGAAACTGTACCTGGATACTGTTATGATTGATACATTATTAGTGGCAACTTTTTAATTTTAACGTAAACTTTTGTTTGGTATATTGGCTTTGAAAGTATTTGTTTGGTAATTGATTTCCTGTACAATACTACTTGCACCCGTGGCGCTCCAATAAATAAATGATCCCAGTTGTTGCTAACCAATGACAATGTTTATTTATTGCAGTGTAAGGCTCGCGCCGCCGATAGTTCCCGGATAGTGGCGGGACACTTTGCCTACTGAATGCATTTCTTGTGTCGAGGGCTCAAAAGCAGTTTTTATGTGAATTTTTAATGGATGTCTACGTAGAAGTAAAGTATTTAGAAAATAGAGAATATAATCTCCGGACGTGTGGATGTCGTGTCGCTATGATTCTCAAGTTGAGCTTGGTAACGAATAGTGTTTGGTCGTCAATTAATGCATCGTGTGAGTCAGTATTACAGGGCAAATCAATTGAACACGTCGCTAACGAATTATTGTGGATCGACCGATGTGTGTACTTGTATGTATTTATGTATGGGCATATACCAGACATTGTCACATTCATGTTATATCATAAGAATACATCTACACCGACTATTATATTGACAAATCCTATATTTATTATACACAGAGACTCTACATGTGTGAACCTAGATCTAATTCGGATGTATGTAAGCGCAATGATAGCTACAGCGGAATATATTGTGTGTCTATGTTAAGGAACTAATCATACGTTGTCTTGTACGTAGGATTTATACTTTATGTATGCACGTATGTAGGACACAACTAGTGTACGTAGCAATGGTTGAGTATATAGACGATCCTCCCTGACTTCTGTATCAGAAATGATAATTTACAATTTGTAATTTTGTCTCAGATTACGTGAATTTAGTGAAACTTCAGAATTGGACAACATTCTACAACAAGAACTGCGTCGGTTATACGTGTTGATGTACATGTCAGCTTGTCGCAGCCACCACTTCACTCGCGATGTTACGCCATTCGTGGCTCCATGGCAGACACAACCAGTATTGTCCCTTCCGGTCACTCAGTGATACGAAACACTGTTTCATACTAAGTCTAAGTGATAGATTATCTGGACCTTAATTCTAAGTCCCTCCGCAGTTAGGCAGGATATATATTACGTACAAGTCATATTTATTGATATTAATACACGCTCATTAGCATCGAGCAAAACTATAAACAAACCAAAAAGTTTTGAAAATTTTTGACAACACTTTAAATAAAATTATCATTTCTTTTACGGGTTTTTCAAGATTACTGTACACAACACGACAGAAGATTGGACAATGTTACATAAATAAACTAACTATTTACTATTTTCATCCCTTCGTTCTTCCTTCGCAAAAGGGTAGACAGAGGTGCTGATTAATGTTATGACCAAATCAACTGTGGAAAAATTGCAAAGGCCATATATTAATTGTTATTTTTATATAGGTAACATTGTTTATATTCTTCGGTTTTGTTTACAAAATTACATTTGATTGTAAACTCTTATAATATGGATGATTTTGGTGGCGAATACTCAGTTGCTATTCAGACTATTGTAATGTTCAGTACAGGACATTGGCATTATTTATTTATATTTATCCAATTTTGACACGATTTTAGACCTAATTTGAAAACTCCCAAAATTTGCAAGTTTGATTATTCGCCTCCAGAGCTACACAAGATTAGACCTTATATTATAATACATAAGCTTTAAACTATATATTCCCGAGCATACATCGAACCACTGAATTCACGCACTACATTACTAAATAGTATATTTTTATAATTATGTTGTATATGATTGTGATATGTAACTGAATATACATATTAATCAACGTAGTAGTTAATTTTTTTTATAAATGTAAGGAAATTGTACTGATGTGATGTTAGAGCAAAGAGTATATTAAAAAATTATGTTATGAACATTTATTATTAATTATAAAATGAGTTTTTTATAGAGTCGAATGCTACATATTTGTGCCATTTAAATAAATGTAAACGTAGATATATGTTAGTGTATGAAGCATATCGATAGAGTTGTACCTACTATTGGTTTGTGGCCGACATGAAGATGTAAGCGTGCTGTACGACACCCCACTACTCAGACACGAAGCGACGCGCGTTAACGTGCGATAGCGCGCTGGATGCAATGTTGCTTCATTTATGTAACGATCGCACGTTAACGCGCGACCGCAAGCACGCCAAAACGGCTTAAAACGGATTTACCGACGCGCGCTTTTAAAGCACCCGTCTATTTTTCATATACGAGGACAAAATACGACATAATTATTGTCATTAAAATATAATCAAATCAAACATTTTATATACGACTATATTTTGACATACAACACTAGTAATGGCAGTGATTATATCTAGTTTTATAGAAAAATATACATTATACAGTATTTCAATCGGGGACCATGCAAATATACACACATTATACAAGATAGACGTTATATATACAAGTCTACAACATTTTATACGGAGTATATTTGACGCACCAAATACAATGTCTATGAATTTATATGTGCTGTTATGAAATGAACGAAAATTTTACGTAAACGTATATTTATTACTGTTGAACGCGGTGCAAATTATAATATATTGTTGTGCTATCAAGTGACAATTTGATATGTGTCATTTTGCACAATGTTCATGAAGTTTCATGAAGTTATGTACCCGGGAATCTCCTGTCTTCCTCTCAAGTCTTTCTGAATGTGTTTAGCATCGTATATTTGTATCCAAGCGACATCACATTTCATTGTATTTTATACTTATTTGTTAGTCTTCCATTAACCTGTTTATGTATCCTGTGAATTTATTTATTTTAAAGGGAGAAGATAGTTTAGTGTTTGTGTTTAGTAGAAAGATATGTGTTTAGACATTATATAAGTAATTATTAAATTAATTGGTACTTTTATCGTAGTGCTTAATGAAACATACGCCTATTATTTCTCAAAGGGGTGGACAGAAGATACATTACCGATTAGTTCGTAGGTAGTAATATTTTACACCGAAAATGTTCTTGAAATAAGATTTTTCGTACCATAATGTATATTTTGGAGTTTTAAACGAATGGTAAACTGTCTTCTTCGTTTGAAAGTTTCCGGTGTAACGTGTGTACCGTGCAATGCGTACAATGGACGTACAGTTAGATCTCTAGTCGGTCTAAATCGATGAGTGCTATTGCAGAGCGAGTTCGTCAACTATGTTATTTGTTTTGATGTAATTAATAAATGTTATGAAAAATGTATTACACTGTATTTTATTTTTATCCTGGATTTATTTTAGCGTAATCAAAACGCTTGTCTCGAGGGAAATTAAAAAATCATGAAAATACTGGGGTGGTGACGTAACCTTGGCCTGTAATGTGACGGGCCTACTTGTAGAGTTTCAAACATGTTTTGATGAATTCTAATAATTTTCAATTTCTCTACTTTGCCCTAAACTGCTCTAAAACTTGCGATATTTCAACATTGTAGTTGAATATAGGTACTTGGTTTAGGTACATATTATTTACTAAAAAACTAGAATGCGAAAAAAGGATAAAAGTATCATTTTTAGTAAATGTAGAGGAAAATTATCTATCTATATATATAAAAGAAAGTCGTGTTAGTTACACCACTTATAACTCAAGAACGGCAGAATAGATTTGGCTGAAAATTGGTAGGGAGGTAGCTTAGAGCCAAGAGACCGACATAGGATACTTTTTTTACCAAATTTTTTTTTTTTACTTTTTCCGAAAATCACGTACGGGTATGGGAAAAAATGGGATGGTACGCGTACGAAGTCGCGGGCAGAAACTAGTAGTTTAATACTTGTTTTTGAAAAATATCTTCTTTTATTTTATGAATATTTTAATTTAATTCGTAGTATCGTTCACATTTACATGGCGACTGAATGGGTCTTGCCTTGCCCACAAGTAAAATGATACTAAATGCAAGTGACTGCACGGTTGGCACGGTGGCTGCTGAACTGGCTGCCGCGCAACGTGTAGCAACTCTTTGTGCGATCCACAGATTGTTGTTTCGGGTCTGGGTAAATGTGTACCATAGTGTAGGGCAACGTTAAAAAAGTGAAATAAAACTCAGTAATTATTGCAACATTGCACCTCATTTAATTCAATTGCATAATCCTATTTTATACATACATCATATGTATATGAGCGTAATATTCATAATTGCCTATTACAATAAAATTATACTAACATAACCCCGAATTACTTATATAAGAAATAGTTTCATTTATTTTCAGTCCAGTCATTTGGTACGGGAAATGAAGTTTACCTGTAAAATTCTGGTAGGTTTGGAAATTTATTAGTTTATAGATTATAATAGGCCGCCATATTAGAAAAATGGCGCGGAATATCGGTTTTCACCATCTTACCAATTATTTTACGATAAAGGAGGGGCAAACCAGTTTTTTTTTAATTAGAATCGCCAATGTCCCCCGTAAAACTCACCAGTGTTTATTATGGTTTTAGTTAATTTTAAATATTTTAGTAAATAAATGACTTAATTTGTGAATTATAAGAAAGGTAAGGAAAAAGGATTAGACACCTTTAGAAAATTATATTAATGTGTCTCGAGCAGAATTCCAATGAGTGTTAATTTTCTTTGGTATATAAATTGTAGATAATTGTGTTGTTATTCATTTTGTAGTTATGTACGTTTATCGTACAATCAGTTAGGAGATATTATCATAAAACTGCTATTCAGCATGATTTTTCCAATATGTTGACGAGAATGAGATGGTAAAGGGTAAAGTAAACATTCAGAAACAATATGAAAATCTATTAAATTACTAATTTTCAAAACTCCGGGAATATTTCAGGTAAAAATATCAAATGACTGGACAATTTAGTTTACAATAAATATTGATATAATATATAACGTTAAATGCCCATGTACGAACATAGCGTGAAGGTACAAAACAGTACGAATATTATTAATAGGATGGCAACCCAGGCAGGTACAGTACCTGTAAACAAAAACAAAGGTTAAATACGTTACATATTAAAGATAATAAATAAAATTGTAGAACAATATAAAATTACATTTTACTAAATTGGCAAGATACCATTTAAAGAAAAAGACAGTTGGGTAAAGATTAATTTTGTTATGAATTAAATTAAATGATTAGAGATCATTACGGGGCAGATAGGAAAGAGATGAAACTCGGGCATTGTTTATTTGTATGCCCTTTCTTATTATTGTTATCCAACTTTAATTTAAGAGCAGACGAAATTTCCTTATGCAAAAACTGGTGTAAGTACTTGGATATTGGAGCAATAAACATATTAAATAAGGTATTAAAGTATACTGACTTCGATGCGGTAGAGAGTGCACGCAGAGACAGTTGTCGACGGATATGGAGAGCAGGGCGGCCTCGGAGCGGCTCGTGATGGGCGGCCCGTAGCCTCGGACCGGCAGGAACTCCAGCCCCGTCACGAACATATTGTGCGCGTTCTTCACGTGGAGGACTCGCTGGAAATGTATTAAGTAAGTATTATAGATCATTTTGCAAATACTAAAAGAATCATACTCCACGAAATACTAAGATAGTCAATTGTCCTTCCTTGACAGTTTGGTATAACAGCCAAGTCTGACTGCCAAGGAAATTTTAAAAGTGAAATTGTATATCTTCAGTGCATTCTTACAAGATTCTTAATTATTTCTGATGGTAAGTGTTACTTAATACGCTTCAATGTAACAAGAAAATAATGTCTTATGGTTTCTTAACTTTTAATTAGGTACTATTTAAAACCTACCTGTAAACTGAATGCAATATAAATGTCGACGGATCCACTGAACATAGTGCCCACGCCCACAAATCTGCCGTCGTCCCGAACTGCGAGGGCCGACAGTGACTCGTTAGCGAGGGCGGAGCTCCGCAGGGCTCCGGTCCGGGGCTCCCACGACTGTAAGAGCCCGCGCTGCCGCCCTGACCGGGTCAGCGGATTCGCTATTGTGAACATCCTGTATTCATTCTTCTTGTCTTCTATTAAGCCAAACCTGTAACAATGGGTAGTAAGTAAATATAGAAAATGATTTAAAAAAATAATCTTTTTAAGTAGTTATAGAACAAGTTATATAATTACTAGCTGACCCGGCGAACTTCGTACCGCGTAATACTCTACCCTATTCTACCCTTCTCTACCCTACTCTACCCTAATCTACCCTACTCTACCCTATTCTACTGTACCCTAATGAAAAATAGACTATCCTATCTCTCAAGTTGGATCGAACTACACATGGTGTGCGAATTTTATTATAATCGGTTAAGTGGTTTAGGAGTCCATTGAGGACAAACATTGTGACACGAGATTTATATATATTAAGATGTACTTCCAAGGCTTTATCTGTTTTGTAATTTTTTTTATTTAGATTCTAGTGAGTAGTTACTACAGCACACTTTTCTGGGATACTTGTACACATTTATTTACAGACATCACCATCAGATCCCTTATCTGCGACTGGGACGAAAATTCAAAAGGGTGGCGATGTCAAAACATCACATTAATTTAGGTATAGCTTTAATATTAGCATACCTGCATCGTCTAAACAGGTACTTGTTCCCGTTGGGCGGCTGGCACGTGATCTGCAGCATGGGAGCTCGCTTGGCGTTGGTGGCCCACAGCAAGGCCAGCCCGTCCTTCGCGATACTCACCAGCGACGTGTCGCACGGACTGAAGTCTAGGTCGTCGATCTGGAATGAATAAATAAGGAATTATTAAAGAGTTTAGAATTTAGAATTATCGAGGAATTAGGATAACTGGCAAAGAATGCTGTTAGCATTAAATCCTCCTTATATGCAATTGTATAAAAAAACTTCAATAAAAAATTTATTTGTCATATTGTGGGAACACCTACTACTGAGTTTCACTGACTGGTAATCAACAAAAACGTTGCCTTTAATCACCCAAAGTGATGTAATTCTAGTACTTGCAAGAACATTGTTGTAGAATAGTGCATACATTTATAAATAGAAAAAAGGGGGGAAAATCATCGAATGACTGCCCCCGCCTGGGTGAGGCGGGAGGGAGTGTCAGACTCTTACTGACTAAAAACCACCCCGTTCCTTCTCCTGCACGTCGAGCCGGAGCCCCGGTTACCCGTTAGGTTCTCCGCGACTCCGAATCGGCATCGGCCCTATTGGACCCCATCTGTGGTGGTCTGATGGCTCTTTGAGGCGCGCGCGGAACGCGACGCGCCGTACGCTCGGGTCTGTTTCTGGTCGGACGGGGAGCCACCCATGCTCGCCGTCCGCAGGCCCGCGCTTACGGTGGCCGGAGATCGTCCCGCGATCCCCGACGCCCGGTGTGTCCTTCGCGATGGCTGGGTTGCGAGGAGGCAGCGCTTCGCTGCCTCACGCGTCCCGCCTCCCCCTTAGCTAGCATGACTGCTTCGCAAAAGGAGGAGACGGCATCCCAATCCCCCTCGCTCCGCATCATGGCCTGCACTAGGCCCGGACGCGAGAGGTCGCCATCGCCGATCACTTCCCTAAGGACACGGCGGTGCTCAGCCCACGAAGGGCATTCTCCCACCGTGTGTTCCACCGTGTCCTCAGGGCGGTCCTCGCAGTGATGACACCCGGGCGTTTCCTCCCGCCCCATCAGACACAGGTACCTCCCGAAACTGCCATGTCCGGAGAAAATAAGTGTAATATTTGTACACCGTTTCGGTAGAATGTATGAGACATTAATTAACATAAAACACTTATTGTAACTGCATTCTGATAAATACATTTTTCTTTATTTTCTTTCAGTCAATGAAGTGTGTACTAAAGTATATTATTGAGTAGTATTAAGTATTAATTGTAATAATTGCCAGGACTTTGACTTTTTAAATATTTATATGGACTTTCGGTTTTGAACTTCTCCACAATTGACCTCCACAGGTTCCGAATAAGCTAATGGTTTTTACCAGTTAAAGCTTTGTCCATCTAATACATTTATACCCAACTACTGATAAAAAGAACAGATGTAAACATTTGTAATCTTATCAATCAATGGTTTTCTAGTAGATATTATCGTTATCAGCGATAACTCACTCCTGTAGAGTATTTGTTTTAGTTTAAACTTCTTAAGGTGAATGACCTAATTCTAAATCCCAGGTATCCGATTCCTGATTCATAATGTAATACCTTAAAATAGTTTAAAGTATGAAATGATGTCTGAAGTATTGGTATAGGTATGAAGTATTTTTTTAACGTTGCCGCACACTAGGATTTTCTCTTGTGTCGTGGATGCATTTACAAACATATAAGTTCACATACCCGTGACACCCAGACCCGGAACAACCATCTGTGGATAACACAAAGAGTTGTTCCGTGCGGGAATCGAACCCGCGACACATTGCGCGGCAGCCAGTTGCCCAACCACCGCGCCAACGGTGCAGTCAGTATGAAACGTAGTTACCTCTTTCGTGTGTCCTTCTAGCTCGTAGAGAAGCTCCATCTTGGGGAACCCCCAGACTCGCACCTTTCCATCGATCCCACCAGTAGCCATCAGCTTACTGTTATGGCTGATCCGCACCACTCGCTGTAGCGGGTCGTTGCTGGAATATTTACAAAATACATTATTTATAAAGGTCCATTATTTAGACATCAAAATTCTAATCACATTAGCTATTGCAACTGTTGTGCTTGAGGTCTTAAGTTTTAAAATATGTACGAGATAAATAAATTATCATAGAGTTAAAAGCAAATGATTAAAGGTCGGTGTTACATTAAATTGAGCACAAGTATCCATCCCTGAATAATAGCGTAATATTCGTTCGACGTAATAAAAATCTAAGTATATAAAAATGAATTCCGTTCGTTAGTCTCGCTAAACCTCGAGAACGGCTGAACCGATTTGGCTAATTTTGGTCTTGAAATGTTCGTGGAAGACCAGGGAAGCATTAAAAAGTGAGAAAAAGTTAGGCGGTACGGTGTTTGCCGGGTCAGGTAGTTATAAATAAAAATTATGTTATGTGGCAAAAAGTGTGTGTACGGAAAGTAGTATAATGATGCTACATACATTATGTATTTTTATGTTATAACTTCCGTAATAGATAAATATCAATTATTATAATTTTGCATTTTGAACAGCTGTGTTCGTGTACGTTAGACAGATATTCCGGTACAGACAGAACAAATATTGATGCAGTTGTTCATTATGTGAAGTTAGTCTGTAAGATTTTGTATTTAACTAAAAGAATTATAATTTGTAAAACTAGTGAAATAAAAAGGGCTTGTAAATTAATTCCAAAACTTATTATGTTTTTTCGACTTACTCACGTAACAATTTGACGAGGAACTCAACTAGTTTCAAGCCATGCTAGGGGCTCATATTCAGTGCAGACAGTGGCCGCGTCGCGGGACACGAAATGCTGCTCATGAATATGAGCCTCTAAAATGGCTTGTAACTAGTCGAGTTCCTCCCCAAAATAATTTCGTTTGTATCCTGAAATAAGGAAACAAAATATATCTTATGTTAATGATTATCTACTTCGGTGGTCGTGTAGGATCACGAACGCAACTGCTAAACTCAGAAAAAGGTAGACAGTTGACTCATTCGGTATCTGCATACCTTTCTGGAGATTAAAAGTCGTGACGTTTTGTGAAGTTTTTTTTGATCATCATACAAAAATAACAATTTACATTTTGAAAAGAATCCACTAACATCTAGATAAATTCATGAGAAATCTAGACAAAAGAAATACCTGGCCATTAGCGATTAGTGCCTTCTATTTATTTTGGTCACAATGATGTTTTTAAATAGAACCACAGCCACAGCTTTGTTTAGTCTTTAATTAGTGGCGTACTGAGAATTGATATTATTATTATGTTTGCATCAGTGTGACAATATGTATGCGTTAGTAAAAACATTTTATTGTTGTCATCATATCATAACAACACCTGTGAGATGAAGCCATAGGTATGCCAGAATCATGTCAATTGAAATGCATGTTATAATGTAATAAAGCACTTTTTTATAGTATAAGCTGGTAAACGAACAGACGGATCACCTGATGGTAAGCAATCGGCGCCGCCGATGGGCGCTCGAAACACCAAGGCGTTACAAGTGCGTTACCGGCCTTTTGGGAATTGGAAATTTGAGGATTGTGGAGGATTCGGGGATTCGGGAGACAAGGACTACGGAGGGGGGTAATTGGGCCTCCGGTAATCTCACTCAGACGACGAAACACAACGCAAGCGTTGCTACACGTCGGTTTTCTGTGAGGCCGTGGTATCACTCCGGTCGAGCCGGCCCATTCGTGCCGAAGCACGGCTCTCCCACATTTATGCCAGAATCATGTCATTTGAAATGCATATTATAATGTAAAAAAGCACTTGATAACTGTCTCTTTGGTAAATTGTTAACGAGCGCGTCTGATGAACACGATGTTCAACGAAGCATTCAAAAATAATTAATGTTTATTGCCTGATATTCTATCATACATCACTTAACAACAGACCATAGGTGAAATCGCGGGAAAATTCGTTTTTCTTCTACCACTCTCCATAGATAACTAATTAAAAAAAAAACATTCTTTAATCTATGAGTATGTGCTATCTATGCATAGCTAACATTTAAGCAGGCTGATGAATGACAAACCTTTTTTATCTTTTACTGATAAGACAATCTGTAATCTCTGTAGGTTGCATGCAGACATTAACTATTATAATATTAAATAACTACTAAAATAATGCACTGAGAAATTTCGTAATCTGATAATGATAGCATTAGTAATGTTTCCTTGAAAGGTAGTTCACTGGCAGGACCTTCTATTTCTACTAATTACTTCCTGGCAGATTTACATAATTACACATTATAATTTTTTTTTTAGCCAGGTAAGTCGTAATTCAGTAAAAGGAGGAGACCATATTGATGTCAATACATGTCAATAGGTTCTGTAAGTAAACTAGAGGTGAATCAACTAAGCTATCAGTAAGGGCTTTTAAAAAATCATATAATACTCAAAATATTTAGACTCCTCAAAAAATATTAAAGAGGATACGAAAACTAAAATCCATATACAGCAGTACCTCTTTAATCCGAACCCCTCTGTAATCCGAAATGCCCGCGCGTTTTGGAATTACTACACGACAAACAACAATACTGAATTTCTTCAAAAACGTTGAATAAAATCCGAACGGGGGTAAACATTTTTGAGTTTGGATTAATGAGGTCCTGCTGTACTCTTTGAGTAGATCAGGATCTTGTTATTTGTAATTCAACTATTAAGAACTACTGTACAAAGTCTTTAGATTAGTACTAGATAATTATACACATTTATATAGTAATGAAACATTTGTTAATTGTTTGCTGTGTGTACTACTTAACAAGTAGGAAGTTGAAGAATTATCTACTGATTGCACCTTAATGATACAAACACAAACATTTCCTATTAATCTCATTAAGGTTTTTCAAGGGAAACAAGATCTTGATTTATTACAATATTTGCAAAATTAACAAAGAAAATGTTTATGTTTTTTGTCAGATTCAGTTCCTGTTGTTTTAAATGTGTATTAAGCTAAGAGCAACATGGTCGGACATCAGGAAACGAAGCCCAAATAAAAAGTATATGAGTATGCTATTAGAGTATTTCGTATTCCCCAAAAACAGGGATTTTCCTTGAAGAAATTTGCTGAGGGTTTTTCATTCCATTCGAAATAATAAAATTAGTGGTAATCCTATTATTTCATAACACTTCAAAGAACTAATTAACCCATACATCCCCAAGCGATCACCGGTGACCGCTCTCCACTAACTACATTATAGACTTTATTTCCAATGTTTAGAGACTACTTTTGTATGAACAAATATAGGGGATGAATTTCAACAGGTTAATATTGAGCTTGTTGTTTTACCTGAAATCCGTCTGCACACTGTCACTAGGCCTTATTTCAAATGATATTCGTTTCTCCGTAGTGTTACTGTTGCTGTCCTTTTTAGATATATTGTCATTCTCGGATACAGTACGCCTTCTTCTCCTCACTAGGCCGTTCTCTGCTCTGAAGCTGCCTCTGCGCATTTCTGCCGCATCCACCATCCGAATGTTGACTTTATAGAGCTGACAGTGACTCTCCTGGCCCGCTGTTAGATACGTCTTGTTCTGGTTACTCCGCACAGAACAGTTCATCACAACATTCGGTCCAGTCTCGTGGCGCATCACCTCTTCGGCAACAAATCTATTTCCATTGTGTGAAAGCTCAAATATTTCCTAAAAACAAATTGTTCCATTTCAGAATTTGCTCAATTATATTTATGAAAAAAGTCACTGACTAGCTACATATCCATTTAATGAACATTATATTTCTTGCCTACATTTTTTTAGAACGTGTGATGAAAAACAAATGATTAATAGCTACCAGTTTGTGATCATTGGACCATCACTAGAACATTTTGTTCATGACACTAAATTCGCGTGTTACTTTCTGTATGCTAATGTTGTTTAGGAATGTGAGAGCTATGGTATTTGTTTATCTAAAACTAGTGAAACTGCATTGATTACTCGTGTGAGTAAGCAGCTGACACGTATACCCATAAAATTAATAGGCATGGCATAAACACGAGTTTGTACAATTTTATACTTACAAATCCATTAGCAACGCCTGTAGCTGCGGCTCCTCCACCACCCGCGACAATTACGTGTCGATTCGTAAGAGTTTGAAGCGTGTACAGCGGAAAATCAACCCTTGCCAGTAAACCATCACATCTATTAGGGGACATGGTGGCTTTTTACATCAATTATACCGTTTCGATGAGCCTGTATCTAATAAATAACACTATCCTAATGTTAAAGCAAGCCACTTAAGAACATTTTAATTAACTAAACATCGTATAATCGCCGTAATATGGACAAAACTATGCGAATCATGAACCAAACTTTAGAAAGAATTCGCCACTTCCAACATGACAAAAGTCAAATGTGACAGCTGCTTGTTTACGAATAGAGCTAACCAACTTTAGTATAGACAATAATACATTGCCAATGTTATTTATTTTACTCAAAATGGAAATCACTCTTTATAAAATGTTTTTTGAGCACAAAACTCATTTTATTATAATTCATTATTACGTGTCTGCGTTTTAGATAAATTATTGCTTATCGTTTCGTAACATGCTTCGTAAAATCTAAAAGTTACCTGTTCACAGCTTGTCAAACATGAAACGATCATCGTTTGATACATTCACGGGGTTTGCGTTAAGTACCAAGAACTCGTGACTATAATTTAATTAAAACGGTTTAGTAATACACCTTGAGAATATATACCAATCTACGAGTTCTAAATACATAACATTAAATTGAAATACCTCGTCGGTTATAAAATAGACAAACAACTCACTTGGCTAACTAGGGCTATTGGATATTATATTATTTAGAGGTCACAAAAACAAAAAAGTTAACTAAGAAGGTTAAATTAAAAAGTAGACAAAAAATAACCAAAAAAAAAATAAAACAAAATATAGTATCAAAAATATTTTTAATAAATAATTTGAACAAGAATTACAAGCTAAATACAATGATTATCCTTAAACAGTTCTACTGATTACATCATAAAAACAAACCTAAAAAAAGTAAAAATAATCCACTATATGACATAGGTAGACAAATGCGTATAAAAACAGTATGTACTATGTATTTTTACATAGTAAAATGATTTCAGTTCACACTTTGTGTGTTTTTTTACATATTTATTCATATCTAATCATGATGATCTTCAAGTCTGTTCAAGAAAAAGGAAACATTACTTTTTTAATGGTAGAAACAGTTCTACCATTTTTGCAAATAGGCAAAAATAAATATAATTTCAACAATCAAATTACATTTTTAACTTGATTGGCATCAATTGGGTATGAATATATTGTGCTATTTATTTACAAATCATATTTATATTTATTGATTATCTACCTTTTGTGAGACATACTAAATTAATTAATATGTTTTCGGCTTACTCACGTAACTGTTTGACGAGGAACTCGACTAGTGTAGCGCGATACTTCGCGCCGCGGGTCGCGGAATGCTGCATAAGAATATGAGCTTCTAGCATGGCTTGAAATTAGTCGAGTTCCTCGATTTGATTAAACAATTGGGTACTTGCCTTAAAAAAATATTTCGACTATTCAATGCAATTAAATATTAAAAAATAATGACACTTTCATTAATTGATTTTATGACCAACTTTATTTTAGTATCTTTCCAGCAATTCTGAAATAAATAGGCTGTTTGACGTCACGTGTTTAGCACACGTGACGTCACAATACAAAATCTCGTACAAAATTCATTGAAAACTCTCGTTTTTGACAGTTCGAAAAAAGTATTGGATTTGACTAGATGACAAATACCCAATTACGTGATTAAGCCGAAAATATAATAAATAATTCGAATTAATACTTGACAATATCATGGAAAACTTCAACTGTTGACTATAAAATTGACTATCCTATGTATTTGAAAAAAATCGTTATAATAAAAAATATACAATATACACACACACACTGACGCTTATAACAATTAACAAAACTTTGGCATACACCTTAAGCTTATATTTGAATAAAAAAACACAAACATTGATGTTCACTTCATTTCGCGATTTGAAAAGTCGGATTTTATGAACTGAGGGCCAAGCATGAATAACTATCGCATTCGTAACGTAATAGTATCGAGCGCATTCGGCGCTCTGATTGGCCGGCTCAAGTGAACCAACCAATCAGAACGCTTAACTCGCTCGATACTGTTACGATACGAATGCGATAGTTATTCGTGCTTGGCACTCGATACCAATTCTATACAAATATTGCGTTATTCTGTTCTCGTCACATAAAATTATATGTTATTCTCACATAAATAAGAAACAAAATTGATTGTGGAAGCTTTGGTCAAGAGACCGCCAGTCCTGTAATACTTTATGAGTACTTATATTTATATCACCAGCAACCTTTTGTCCGTCTTTAGACAACGAAGCAAAGATCGGGTGGCAGTGTATGCTAGTATGTGAAAATAATGGACCTTATGAGTCCATCTCGGACTGAGTCCGAGCTCTGTCCAATGCCAAAGTTGAAGAAGACGGACTCAGCTGCTACTTGCTGGGCACAGGTGCCCATGGGATACCAACCCACCTTGTTAAATACTATGCCCACTTTGTATACCTGTAAAGTGAAATAAAACGGTTTAATTTAAAAGGAAGTTAGAATTCACGGTTTTTTTTTTCTTTAAATATATTTAGCAGTATATATATTTTTTTAAACATTGCCCCACCTTAGGATTCTCTCCTAAGTGCGTTTATAAACATACAATCTCACGAGCACACGACACCCAGACCCAAAAAACAGTTTCTGGATCACATAAAGAGTTGCTCCGTGCGGAAATCGTACCTGCTACACGTTGCATGGCAGCCAGTTGCCCAGCCACCACACCAACCGTGCAATAAACTTCAAGCAGCTTATGACAACAAAAAGAAGAAGCAGTATTGAATGACTTATATACCTTGTTCCTCTGTATGTAGACAGGTCGGTTGAACATGATATCGAGCAGATGTCGGTAAGGCACGCGGCTCGTGTAGTGGGTGTAGGTGAGCCTGGCTCCGTCTGCGTCGAGTAGGTGCGCGTACAGTAGCTCGCAGTACGAGCCGCCGCCGCCGCCCGCCATTGACACTCCACTCTCCTCGCTTGGGGCTTGAGTAGGCACCTGTAATTAGTGTAATAGCAATTTAAGTAATGTTAAATCTATGTCAACCTCTTCAAGAAAGAAAACTTGAAGATTTATGCACTTGAAGTGATTTGGTTAATCTAAATAAAGAAAAAGGAAGCAATCATTAAGAATTTAAAGGAAGTGAAGGTAAACAAAAAAGGATTTATTATACTTTCTATCAAAACTTACGAAATGGAATTAGATGTATGTTTTTTTTTAGCCGCACACGCTGGAAAGAGACTAGAGACGATCCTCAAGTCTACAGATAAATAAAATTCGAGTGTCTGTTTGTAATATTAAAATAACAGTAATAATTACTCCATACATATGAATATACATATGTATGTCTGTTTGTCCGTCTGTCTGTTTGTTTATACTGGCTAATCTCTGGAATAGCTGGACCGATTTTGTAATACTTTTATTGGCAGGTAACTGATGTATACATAACAGGCTACTTTTATTTTTAAAAGTTGAAACAAAATATGTTTTGTTCTAAATTTAGCGAGTAATTTAAGTAATAATAAGTATTAATATAATTCTGACCTGCACACCAAGAAGACAGATGTTCTTATCCACCATAAAAGTGACGGAGCAGTCGAGTACAGAAGTGTTGAGACAGTCGGTGTGCTGGATGATAGGTCGCTGGCAGTAGATCTTGTTGTAGTCGGCGCCGTGCCGGTCCAGGTGGGGCAGCTCGGCCACGGGCAGGCCCACGCCCACGCCCACGCCTGCTCCTATCCCTACTCCCATCCCAGCTGCCAGGTTCATGTTCTGGACTATTGCTGAGTGCCTCGTGCCTACTGCGGAGTAGATAAACATAACATCACGCCTTTTTATCCTCGAAGGGGTAGGCAGAGGTGCACATTACAGTACTTAATACCAATGTACAATGTGACACCCACTTTTCACTATTTATGTTATGAGTTCCGTGTAATAGTGGGTGAACCTATTGCCATTATACCGGGCACAATTCCAGACGCCGTGCTACTAATAAGTTTTTTTTAAAACCCAGTTATACTTCGCCTGACCCGGGAAGAAAAAACCCAAGACCCTATGCCCAGCAGTCGCACTTACGACCAATCGACCAACGAGCCAGGCAGCAGAGAGAGAGAAAGTTTTATCTTTAAAGAAACTTATATCCAAGTAAGAACGAAATAACGATGTAATTCAAAATGTTTATTTCTATTGGTTCCTGTACGGTTTGAATATTACTGGAATTGGACAGATCTAGTCGCTACTCAAATACCAAAGGTTATTTAGCGCAAAAAAATGGTTGTAAAATGTAATCGGATACATATAACACTGCATTGACATTAAATACTTTAATATTGTATATTTATAAAGTAGATTTTTCAATGATTTTCAGGACTTGTACTATTAATACTGTGGTATTATTAAAATATTTGAGTTAGTGAATGTTACCATCGTGTCGCGTAGGCCTGGGGTAGGGAGGTAGGCAGGCGAGGTGTGACGGCGCTCCGAACACTTGGTCCATCATCACTGGACTTGGAGTATCCACCGTTAATGTTGCCATCTGAAATACGCGCGAAAATTAATTAGTTATACAGATAAATCATTTTTGAACGTTAAAAGAATAAATTATTTTTATTTACACATAAAAATAATTTATTCTTTTAACGTTCGTGCTTCGTTCGATGCTCGTTATAGTCAATTATTGTAGTTAACTAAAAGAGGGGTTCTTGCGCGTGCGCGGTCGCGGCGACGTCGCGCAGCTCACTCTCGCTGACCGCGACCGCGCACGCTGCTCATGAAGAAGTACCCCTCTGTGGTTCGAAACTAGTAGAGCTTTTCTCGGTATATTCAGTGAGTAACCCGCGATTTTAGTTAATTTAGTATGTCTCACGATAGTTATTATAAAAATTATAGTAAGGCTGAGAATTTGTAAATTCGATAGTGAATAATACTTTAAGGACCTTCATAATTGTATTTCCTGCGAATACTTTAATGAAGGCCCAAAAGTAGAGGGAGACTAAAGTACGGCAAAAATCTTTCATTTCTTTCACCATCTTTCAAGCAATGTGAGCACATCACTTACATTAGAAGATGGTCCATCGCCAATAAGCTGCTTTCTGGGCACTCTGCAGGTAGAGAAGCCGCTTGGCATGGCCACATCCGAAGTGCTGGATAGAATATTCATGAGAACTGCAAACGCTTCCGATTCGGTGAGTAGTGAGGAACGAGCTGGTCCCTCTGCAAACTGCTGCGGCGTCAAGGTCAAGAAACGAATCTTCTCAATGGCTTTCCGAATCGTTGGTTTGTCAGTTTTAGGATCTGAGATACATACAAACATATTTATTATAAAATTATGAAACTTGGAAACTGAGAGGTCCACCCAACACCCAAACTGACAATAAAAATTACTATTGTATGCTATAGCAATACCTTCAATTTTGGAATTTATGATTTCTGCATAGTTTATGGACTCTTCCCCATGTGACAGTAAATTTTCGATCTCCCCACACAATTCAAAGACCTGTATTGGTTCTTAAAAGAATAGAAATACTTTAATATCATATTTAGACTTTATATTATGTGAAAATTAAGTGCAAGTTTGAATGAAAAGAGTATAAAGAGAGTTACATGACTTGTTTAGCTCACCGGGTCTGTTCTTCTTGCTCTCGTCTGAAGGTCCTGGTAGGGGCTGGTCAGAGTTGTCACTGGACTTTGCAGGCTCCATCACTGCTTCTGGACTGTTCTCAGCACTACTTTCAACATTCACCACCTGTGGCTATGGTAGCAATGGGGATTATTATTATATTTTAATATCACAAAACATTATGCTATTATAGTGTTTGTTGTTGTACTATTACAATAATAAAATTATACATTGAAAGCCCTACAGAACCATTGTGAATTTTTTTTACTGAGGTTTGATGAGTTACTTTAACATTACATGTCATTAATTTAATGCTCATTAATGACAATAAAAGGAATTTACTAGAAAATATATTTTCATGTTTTCAATCTTTTACATTACTTCTGCTCACTACTCCTAATGTGAAAAATGTTAGAAATACACCTCTTTAATTCCTGACTCACTGGGTATATAAGTTTGTAAATACTTCTCAAATAAAATACAATAGTTCTACTTACTTTATCTTTAGAAGTGGAAGGTTCAGGGCTCTTAGGCCTCTTTTCATTAGGAGGTCCAATCTCTGAAGGTGGAGACGTGCTCCTTTCCGAGTTCCTCTTGTCCTGAGCCTTGGCATACCTGACTGCAGCATTAAACAAGTCCAGTTCACTGTCCACATTCAAATGGTCCAAGGAAAACACTGTCATCACTGTGTTCAACTCCACATCTTCGAAACTGATGTCGTTTAAAACCTCCTTGGTGTTTGTACTGATGATCTATAAAAGAGGTTGGTAATATTAGAAAGTGGTATAAACCATTTTTAATTATGTAAACATTATATTGTCATCATTAAATCAGTCACAAGATTTCAGTGTCAAATAGATTGGCTTTTAACCAGTCACTGAACATAAAATTATCATGATGTTGATATAGTGAGAGGATACAGACCTGTATGCACTTATCCATTAGTACATTTTCTTCAAAGAGCCTTGCAAACTCATAGGCACGACAGGCATTCCGTGGATATAGGTCTGACCACAGATACCTAGTACATTCCTTCACCAGGTGTGGCAGCATGTACTTCTTAGCTCCATAGCACAACTCACAGGCCTTATCGAACGAGCTGATGTTGATATTATCTGTGTATATGTACCTGCAAAGTTATACATGCAAAAGATAAGTTTTGAAGTGTTTTTCTTATTCATTCTTGTATATGGAATTGAAATCATGAATAGTAGAATACAATAAAGGTTATATGGACATTTTTTACTTTACATACTCACTCTAACAGAGCTCTAAAAGCCTCAGGCTGTACATCTAGTATAGGTATGGGCTCATTCCTCTCAGCCATACCACCATAGAACATCGCCTCGAAAACTGGAGATGCCATCGCCAAAATCAGCTTATGGCCAGCAATAACCACTTGGTCGGGATCTGTTCCCACCAAGAATGTACAGTCTGACCATTGCCCAGACTTCAGGAGATATTCTCCCCTTTGCTTCACTTCGACGCATTCTAATTGCCAATCATTCGGCACACCAGACATATTTCTGTTTTGTTGTTGTCTTCTTGTTCACAAGATTATGTTATTTATCATTTATTCAGCTCAGATAATCACAAATCATTCGTCAAAACCAAAATAATCACTCAACTTGCTACTTGCTATTGCTAGAATATGCATTTCTGAGACTCGTTTAAATTACCTATGAACAACAAACTTAAATACATTAAATCTGCTTCTTTTAGGCAATTGATGTAAAGATGTGAAAAGGAGTTGTGTATCGGTTATTAAATTATTAGTGATTTTTTAATATTCATTGGAACTATTTTGGTAAGAAATAGTTAGGAATATCTTTTTTCTAGAACAGTTTCTTAGCTTAACTTTCTTCATAAACACAATATCACACGACATTCGCTGAAGCGTTCAGAAATATATTTTGTTTAGTTTTACTTTTTCTTCATTAATGTCTTGTTTTGGTTTGTTTATTTGGTTAAGAAACTGAACTCACTGAACTGTATAATGCATGCATAAAAATTACATTGGCTCATTTTTTTTTATTTTGATATAAATAATAAAATTAACCAATCGGTCGATCTTGGTCGAGTGAATTGTTATGTGGTTGAAAGTTAAATAAACGTCAAAGTCATTATCATTACGCGATGTCAGTCAGCAAGCAAAATAATTTTGCAAACTTGTCAGTGTAATGTAATGAATTCGAACAATATTGATGTAGTGTGAAAAGTGGAACGAAACAAATCCATGAAACATCATGAATCACGACGAGATAAAATCTGTGGTACAGGAAAAATTCTTATCCAGCGAACGGGTCACAGCTTTCCTGTGTGACGCCAAGGTATTACATCCCGAATGGGTGAAAAAGGATCGGCTTCTGGCCATCGTCGAGTTTGGAGATGAAAAGGCAGTGTTTTGCTTGTTTACGTCATGTTACCCACCAAAGTCCTTCACGGATTTATCCATAGAAATAGTGCTGCCTATAGATAAGAGTTTTAAATGTGAAATAGACAACAAACCTTCCGACCCTGAGGCCATACTGTACCTGAATCTGCAATCTCGTAGTAATAAATATAAGTTTGAAATACAAATGACTCCCCGCGTCGACAACTTTGTTGATGACCTTTTTAGAGGCATAGAAGCTGTGAACAAAGTGCCAACTCAGCCAGATTTCGTGTGGCTTAAGAAGTACACTGGTAAAATTGACAATGATATACTGACCCACACCATGGCGCTACCTGGCGGTGTCCCGCACACACAAAGCTCAGCTCCTGTTGCCATTAGAGAAAGCCTCATCAAACACAAAATGTCTGACAAGGAGTATGAATACACTTTTACTAAGAAATTCTCTATATTCTGTGGCACATGGAATGTCAATGACAAATCTCCTGTGATTCCTCTCAAGGACTGGCTGAGTGTTGACAGGGAGCCACCTGATATCTATGCTGTAGGGTTCCAAGAATTAGATCTTTCCAAGGAAACATTTCTGTTTGATCAAACATTTAGAGAGGATGAATGGTATTCTGCTGTTATTAAATATGTTGATAAAAGAGCAAAGTATGTCAAGGTGGAGAAAGTAAGACTCGTAGGCATGATGCTAATAGTTCTTATTAAAGAGAAACATTTGTCTCATGTGCGCAATGTAGTATGTGATACTGTGGGTACTGGGATCATGGGCAAGATGGGGAATAAAGGAGGAGTGTCCATAAGATTTGACCTCCACAGCACCTCACTGTGTTTCGTGAACTCCCACTTGGCTGCACATGTAGAGGAGTTTGAGAGAAGAAACCAAGACTTCAGAGATATCTGCAACAGGACCAGATTTGTGCAACCCAACCAACTTCCTAAATCCATCAAGGATCATGATCAAGTGTACTGGTTAGGAGACCTGAACTACCGCATTACAGAACTAGATCCTACCACAGTCAAAAAGCTGTGTAATGAGAACAGTTTTGCACCAGTATTGGAGTGGGACCAGTTGAAGCAACAACATAAACTAAATAATGTATTCTCTGGATACACAGAAGGCGAAATAAACTTCAAACCTACATACAAGTATGACCCTGGAACAGATAACTGGGATTCTAGTGAGAAGAACAGAGCTCCTGCTTGGTGTGACAGAATATTCTGGAAAGGAGAAAATATTGTACAACTGGGTTACAGAAGTCATCCATCATTGAACATAAGTGATCACAAACCAGTATCAGCTATATTCAACTCCTCTATTAAAATAATAGATGAAGAGAAATATAGGAAAGTGTATGAAGAAGTTATTAAACAACTGGATAAAATGGAAAATGAGCTGATTCCCCAAGTAAAAGTTGACAGAACTGAAATTGATTTTGAAACTGTAAGGTACTTGGAACTGCAAGTTCGAACAATCACTATCAAGAATGTTGGGAAGCTTCCTGTAGAGTTTGAGTTCATCAAAAAACTGGATGAAACTAGCTTCTGCAAGGAATGGCTCATAGTTGAACCATACAAGAAATGTATTTGTGCTGAAGAAACATGTGAAATCCAACTTAAGGTCCTAATAAACAAAACATCTGCATGCAAGATGAATGCAGGAACAGACAAACTATATGATATTCTTGTACTGCATTTGTATGGAGGCAAAGATATTTTCATAACCATTAATGGCACATACCAAAGAAGTTGTTTTGGATGTTCTATAGAGGTTTTAGTGAACCTCAATATGCCGATAAAAGAGGTACCTGTAGGAAAATTAATTGAGCTTGAAAATAAAAGGGATTCATGTGTAGCTAACCAGTGCACATACTCTATCCCCAAAGAGATTTGGTTCCTGGTTGATCACATTTACCTACATGGTTTGAAGGAACCCAACTTGTTTGAGCAACCAGGATTTCATTCTGAAGTGTTACAGATTCGTGACTGGCTGGACAGTGGCTCCATAGACCCAATACCTGGGAGTATCCACTCTGTGGCTGAAGCACTATTGTTGCTGCTCGAGAGTACTGCTGATCCAATCATTCCTTACAATCTTCAGTCAGTATGTTTGAGAGCATCCGCCAATTACTTGCAATGCAAACAAATTATAATGGAGCTTCCAGAATTCAGAAAGAATGTTTTCTTATATTTGTGTGAGTTCTTACAAGAAGCTTTGCAGCACAGTGCTGAAAATGGACTTGACTCGAAAACTCTATCGACTTTATTTGGCGCCATTTTCCTCAGGGATAATCCGAACCAAACACAGGAACCACAGTCAAGGATAAATAGACAAGTGATAGATAAGAAAAAGGCACAGTTTGTATACCACTTTTTGGTTAATGACCATAGTGATTTAATATTTTCTAGATAAATAAATTAATTGTTGCATCATTGTAAAACTTTAGTGGGAAAATGGAACACTATTAATGCAGCAATAATTCCATCAATGCATTTTGCCCCATCAAATTGTTCTGTTTTTCCATTTAAGCTGTTTAGTACGCGTGTCGTACGCATTATATTTATTAGTATAATACTCACATATTTCCATTAGTAACCCTAGGAAATAAATTAATAATAACATAATTATGAGACTGCTTTGTTGCAAACTCTTATTGGATTCTTTTTTTATGTTATGGAATTCAGGCTACAAAGCCGGAATGGAAATGGCTCACCCTTTGTAACGTGCAGTATGCCCGTCACTTGTAACAGTCACGATATTATAATTATATCATACCTACGTAAAAAGTCTCATAGTTATACATTTTACGCTTATTCCTTATAGTTAATGTGAATCTTCTTGTAATGTTTCGGCCCATTGTTTTCTACTAATTCCATTTGTAATCGACGGTTCGTGCTAAATGACGTAGTCACTTACGTTACATCATGTGACAAAATTAACTTTGTGCATTTTCATACTTTGTTTAATAATGTTGTTAGTTGTTTCCAGATTTTATTTATAGTAAAATGAGGGATATGGTAGGTCCGAAATTGCACTTTATAATCAATAAGTCAATAATATTTTCTCATTATCTCGTTATAAACTTGGCGACAATAACACGCCAAATGCAGCAGAGGCGCCGTTGTGTCTGACTGCCATAGAATTTATCTAATTAACAATGATATGTTGGGCAGAGTTGCGTGGGCGACATCCCCTGGTACTTAGTCGGTTTAAGCTCTCTCACAAAGCCATTCGTTATTGTACTTTCTTGGAGACTTGATTTAAGAATATTTCTGTACAATTTATGACCCCAATAAAATCGAAGGTCACCAAAATTAAAATTACTTATTAATCAATTCAAATGGGGGAAAATATGCCAAAATATTCATTCTATAAGGTAAAAATAGGTACTAGATTTTATTTTTAAAACTATAAGTTTACCGTAAACGATGTATTATAATTATTATGTTTAATTAAAATGGATTTAATTCGCATTAAAGTTTTACGAAAAATACGAAGGCTCTTAGACTACCGAGCCTTTTAATAACGCTAACTATAGTTTTTAAGGGCTATATCGTAATGATTTCACACATTGCCGATCCAGCTTAATTATAATTAGTGCCTATCGTATTTTTCCTGTAGAACGTAAACAAACGGAAGTATTTTTAGTCGCTAGTTCAACGAATCAAAGTGGCCAAGTCCATTAGTTTTAGTTTATAATTAATATTTTCTCTACACTGTTATGACAAAAATATACCTAAATAGGTACTATGATACTTTTGTAATAACTATTGCGATTACGACGTTTTTAAACGCTCTTTAGCATCACAGAATTTTGAAATTAATACATTTTTATAGAATTTACTATTCGAATATGTAGTTGGATGTATGTAGATAATTATACTACCTACAGTTATTGTAAAAAAATGTGTGTTTACATTTTATTTTAATTGGTGTTCGTTAGTAAAAGCATTCAAGCCCTCCTTGCGTGCCACGTGCACATAAACTATTGCAATTAATTCTAATAAAATGTAATCATACCTTTTTATATGCGACAGCATATACAATATTGATATTGGTGTCCATGTATTGTAGAAAATATAATTATACCTATGTATTTTACAAGTTTATTATTATATTTAAACAAATATTTTATTATTGTATTTATTCGTTCATGTCATAGTGAATATAGTGAACTGTTAATTTATTAAATTATTAAGAATACTACTTTGTTGATATTTTTTTATTTTTTTACATTACATATGTATTTAGACCCAGAAATAAAAATCACCCAAAAGCCTTTTTTAAGGGGTTAAAATCATCGAATGACTTCTCCCGCTTAGGTGAGGCGGGAGGGAGTGTCAGACTTTTACTGACTAAAAACCACCCCGTTCCTTCTCCTGCACGTCGAGCCGGAGCCCCGGTTACCCGTTAGGTTCTCTGCGACACCCAAAAGCCTTAGGCTACCTAGTCACTTTCATTTTTACAAGTACGTTTACCTAGAATCTAGATCGCGACCAGGCTTGTTTTATTTTAGTCTCCATTTTATATCCCCGCCTGAATTTTTTTTTTAAACTTCCCAAGAATTAGGAATTTCGATAATATAATTCGGCCGGTTAGTTTTTGTTATAGTAAAAACACAAAGAACAATAATGAACGAGATGTCCAAGTGGGTAGGCACCTAGGCGCTAGGCATAGGTGCACAAACAAAATAGTTCATAGTACAAGGGATACATATCTTTTTAATTTTTTACTGCTTAATTAATGATTGTTTATTTTTTAACAAGTAATAGTCAACTATATTTATTTATAAACCGGCAACGTCAAACGTGTTATGTATTTAAAAAATCCATATAGGTAGGTAGCTACCCAACTTACTCTTACAAGAATGTACCTGTGAATAATGTTATGTAGTGTCAGTAGATGGCGTGAATGCGTAGAACTAAAAGTTTATCGATGCTTCACTAGGTGTCGTTAGGCGCAGTTGTGAATAATTTTGTTAAAAATGACTAAGGTGAATAATAATATTATTTATTATATAATTACAGTATTATTATTAAATACAATTAAGTTATTATTAAAGTTAGTATTTTTTTTTAATACGGCTGAGGAAAATCATGACTTTTCGAACGCGACCTCCTAGATCACTGGTCGATGGATCGAACGCTAAGCCGCCAGATTTGATTTCAACCAATCAGAACAGTGCATCCATCGGTTTGTCAAATAACTATGAAAACTTCACTTATGAAAGAAAACGTCTGCCATTAACTCATATCCTGTCTTTCTTTACTTCAAATTTAATTCAAAATAACTGTTTCAACGGCATAAGAAGTTATAAAGATTTTGTATCGAACGCATCCTGCTTTAAAACTTGTTAGTCCTTTGTGTGCAGCGGTTGTGTGAAATAAAGCATCCTTTGTTTTATCCTGAGCGAACTACCAGTTCAAACAAAGACAACTACAATGGAAGTTGAAGCCGCTAAATGTAAGTCAATTTAATTAAATTACAATAAAAATATATTTCTTTAGTATTCTAAAATTATGTCGGTGTCAATGGCTGCATCCAATTAAATAAAGTTATTTATTTTTCATTTTATGTAACAGCTACTTCCATCTATTCCGATTTTTAACCGTCGGTAAAATAATGATTATATTGTTTTATATACTTATAGAATGTGCATAATTGCTACTACGTTATTAACAATTGATTTTTTTAACAATACTCTTATTAGAAAAATAAACTTAGTTACCTATTTAAACCAATTGGAAACACGGGAACTGACCTACCGCACCTTTACATTTTCGTGGTTTCCAATAATTCGGAGGTCAATCTTTTTGTTAAAAGTGGCTAATAACGGAAAATACACATAATTATACAAGTATTATTTTACATTAAACTGTCAAACGCCAAGCGGTCACCGGTGACCGCAACCTATTGTTCTTTAATTGTGTCTATAAATACGGTACTCGACGAGTTAAGTAGGTACCTAGTACCTAGGTTTTTTTAAACTCGTACATCTATGTACCAAAGTTTTAAATGATGTACCTCCGTTTTTAAATCGGTTTTAAATATAGTTGTATGTTTTAACGTAAAAAATAACCCCTGACCTGAACTGCAATAATTTAAATTCTGTATCTTCATCTTCTACAACGATTTTCTGTTTTTTTTTTTATCTTGACGAGAGACAAGACTTCGTTGTTTGTTTATTACGGCAAACAGGTTTTATCGAGATGTTTATTTTTGTTTAAAATAGGTACCTACCTACCTATTTATGAAAAACATGATTCATTTAACGGTCGTGCTTTTAAAATATAGGTCTTCTTATTCATAAACTTCACGCCTTTGTCTCAGGGACACGGTAGACTCCAATTATTATTTTATTTCAGATTTTATATCAATCAGTATATGAACTGACCGTTATAGAAATGCTTAGGTATTAAGAGCGCTCTTTGAAATACCTAAAACTATCGAATAATTTATTTCCCATTAGGCACATGAAAAAATGATGTCCCTGAATTCTGAAATAACGGAATATTAAGACAGCGGTTTTTTGCAACTGCATTCGTTTTATCTGCTTATAAAATTCCTAGGTACCTGAGAACATAATTCTTTTATAAATCACGTAATTATAAAACCAACTTCAACTTCCTCATTTTTTCAATCGGTTAATATTACCTATACTAAAACCTTCTCCTAAGTGTAACAAACATTTCTGAACCGCATCGAAATCGGTTCAGCCAATTGCGAGGTAATCGCGCTCAGACATACCTACATACATATAGGTCAATTTGAGAACCTCTTTTTGAAGTTGGTTAATAAGTCCCTATATTTTGTACTAAACGTAGGTTCATGTTCATGCCGGTTCCAATAAACCAACCAATTAGAACGCCGAATACGCGTACATACTCGTTTCGATTGTTGTAAATGTAAAACATACTCGTATTAAGGCCTCAGTATACTCCCAAGTTCTAGTATCGTAATTCGTAATAATAGGTATTTCATAAACTGTTTCGAGAACGCTATAATATGAAACATTTTTATAAGATTTTTCTCTTCAGTAGGTATTACATTTTTGTACTAATGCGTACTTAATAATTTGACTGTCTCATCGAATCATTCAATTGCATGCACATAGCATTATAGCATGCGTGTTCGAAGTTGGAAAATTGAGTTAAAACCGGTTTCCTAAGACGAGTGCAGCTGTTCATTCGCCTCAAGTTAATCCCCTTAGATTTAGGGTCAGTAAGTAATCTCTTAATATTCCCGAGAGCACAGTGGGCTGACCTATTTTCATCTAAGAGAGCCAGTGTTTTCCAGCGCACAAAATATTTTGCATAGAAATTAAGAAAATGTGGTATTCATAATATTCTAACGTGATGAAGTATTTGTCTTCAAGTCAAGTAATCACACATAGTTATCGCACCCGTAATTAC